ATGTTCACTTTTCATAAAACTGTGCTGATTTCTTTTGTCATAATTTTTATTAGCTGAGTCACTCCTCAGCCTTTCCTTTATTTAGTCTACAGCTGGACTGTCTTCTGTATTCCTTTTAGCGCTAGGTTAATCTCTGTTATTAGTGATGATTTCATGTTTATTCCTGTCCCATTATACAGTGACTGGGTTGCAATGCTTACTGACTCTTTGAATAACTCGCTACTTCTCCAAAACTATGATCTGCATGTTTATGGATTTTTAGGAAAAAATTCAAGGAGTGAGGGTTATGAGAATAACCATGATGCAAAAGCTCCTGAACAGTGTGGGATTTATTATTCTAGTATCCCTAGCATTTTTCATACCTTGCATCTGGAGAGCTAGCATTTTGACTGTGAATAATATGGAGTGGTAAAAATGAAAGAGCTCTTGCACAAGGAGAAAGGAGATGAGGATAGAAAGCGAAGATATAAATCCATGCTATTGTATTATGTCTGACAGTCTTCAGACATAGGCTTCACTCTCTCCTCCTGGGAATTTACAGACATTTTTACCTTGCCTCTTTAAAGTGCCCTCTGTTTCTTCAAAGGTATTGAAAGTGGCTCTGTGAAGTTATCACCTTGAGGTCTCCTTGCCTTGCACTGTATGCTGCTTGCATTATTCTATGAGCAATACCTGCAGGAAATAGAGGTGAAAAAGAGCTTTGAAAGGGAGATTCTATAGAGTGCCTTTAAGTGAGGTTAGACATACCTGTTCTTTAAGGGGCTTTGGAGGGGAAAAAAAAATACCCCAATTGTACAAAAAACCTCCAATCAAGCAAAATTCTGAGCAGATGTAGTGTTCAAATGGAAGAATTTAAGTGTTTTTTATAGTGAAGCTATCAATGTTGCTGTTTAAAGATTAGAAAGCTCTTTCTTTAGAGGAGCTAATAAAATAATGATATAATTCTGTTGTCATCTAATGACAAATTAAGTTGATTTACTAAAAGAGAGGATGTAACTTTCCTACATAAAAGCTATGCATCATTAACCTGTGCTGTAGAAGTTGTTATGCTACTATTTTTCACACACAGTTTTGGCTTACAGATAACAAAAATCCTTCTTTGTAACCAAGAGTTAAGGGTACTGTATGTTGAGTTAGAGAGATGGCATTTTTATGAATAGTGTCAGGGACATTCTTTATTTTTCAGTAAAAAAAAAAAAAATTTGGACTTTGGGTTATTAAGAAAACAAAACTGTTGGCTGAAATTTTTCAACCAATTCTAACTGGAAGTTGATGAAATCTTTTCATCTACTCCAACTTCTGCTGGATACTCAGTGATATGGCTGGATATCACATATGACCTGTGTAACACTGTATGTGACCTATTTGCCTGGATCAGATTTTTTAATAAAAAGCCTGATATCTGCAAAATTTTTTTTGACAATAGATGGAATACTTCTGCTTGAATTTCATGCAGTTTATTAGCTGAGTCCCTTACCAACCTACTTTTTACTTGGTCTTGGACTATCCTGTGTATCCTTTCAGCACCACCTTTGTTTCTGTTGCTACTGATTCCAAAACTATACCTATAGTTTATCTCTTTTTCAGACATTCACAGAAACCCTCAGGGTTCAGGTATTTTCTCTCTTCTTCTTGTGGAATATTCTCTGGTCAGCATTTATCATGGAAGGATGTGGGGAAGAAGTCTTTCTCTCTTGGCTAGTCCTGGACTTCAGGTCCAGGCTTCAGGTCAGGGTTTCCGTTCCTGGAGAACAGAGAGCCTGTAACTTATCAGCTAAGCAGAAATCATTTGCAACACTTCACTAATTTAAGGTTAAAAGAAAGTGAGTTTATTTTGCTTCAGAATGAAAAGCTTAATAAAGCACCTATCATTTGTGGAGGAGTAACAGCAGAAATAGAACCACACTTTATAATGGCTGCAATTCAGTCCTTAGGTGAGTCCCTTGTTGTGGGTAGTGCCTGCACTGGAAGGGATCATCACTGAGGAGAGAGTTTTGTCTGAGGCACCCTCTTGTTCCCTGGCGTTCATTTTCACAACTCAGGTCTAGAGCTTCTGAGGTTTTGCAGCAATTCATAGCCTCATACTTAACTGGGATGTTACTTCTCCACGCTTTTCCCTGAGGGTTGTTCACTGCTGCAGTCTGACTGGCTTTAAATATTTTTATCTCCCTTGGGTGGGTACAGAGCTATCACCTGTCCCAACAATAAGCAAAACTCCTTGTTAGATGCAAATACAAGCTCGACAGCCGATGTGATGTTTCCTTTGGCTGGAAACAAATCACTTAGCTAGCAGCCTGACCGAAATCTTCTGTTCAGGTAGCTGTATAGAAGGTTTTTCTTTGGTTTTTTCAAGGTGTTTTATACTTAGATACTGAAAACTGCACTTCATTTAAAAAAAAAAAAAAAAAAGGTTGAAAGCCACACGAACATACAAAACGGAGCAATGAATGCAGCAATGAATGCCTGATAGAGGCAACTATTAAGATAACTGGAGAAGCTTGGGGGTGACAGCAGGAGTGTTGCTGCAGCCTGGCTTTGTGGGGTTGCCTTGGGAGTTATAGCAGTGGTAGACCATTCTTCTACCCTTGAAAAAACAAAAATGGAAAAAAAAAAGAATTTTTTTTCTTATACAGCAAAATATGTCCTATATGTAAAAGGAGCTAGTTTTCCATGCAGCTCATTCTTCAGGATTAAGATACAAAGATGCAAGCCTCTCGTTGTGTTCCTTGGCTTGGTGGGAAGGGAACTTTCTTCATCGACTAACTTCTTTACTAGTTGACGTATCTACAGATACAGTCTGTGTTAGTGCATCGGTTGACAATGACAAATGATTTGGGTTGGTAATCACAAGGGAAATCAATATAGTTATGCTTTTATTGTTACAGTGTATAGATAGTAAAAATAGAAGCTTACGGGTTTATTTGAATGTTTATGTTATTCAGACTTCTCTTACATTCAGTCAATTTTTATACTGTTTGCCTTCTCAAGAAGGTCAAAAATCTTACTGTTTGTGTCCAAGTAGAACATTAATCATCTTTTAAAATGCAAACACCGGTTTACACAAAAAAAGGAAATTTACTTACAGCTATTATTTATTAATTTATTATATTCTGGATCCACAATATGGAACACTGACATCCTGCATAGTATATTAATTCAGCTTGGTACAGTATACTTTGAAAGGCTATCTAAGGAGGTAGAGATTTCCGTTTACTAGAATGAACCAGGTTGGGGTAACTGTATGTTTGTGTGCTTCTCAGTGCTAGGTGCCTGGTGCTATCTGAAGTCTTTAAATGGTGCTGCAGGGCAATGCTAACTGGTAATAATGTGTGTTAACTAATGGAGCGGTTGTGTAATGCACACTTGTGTATTGCAGCTCAGTTCTAAATGGGAGTGATGTAGCTGCTGTAGTTTTGATTATTAAAATGGCATATTCCAATTTTATGATGTATTATCAGTACCAGCATTTATTTTTCTAGGCAACTTTCAGAATGACCTCAGAAAGCCCATTTCTAAAGACCTGTGCATCCCCTGCTGGATGTGTACTATAAGCCAAGATACCAAGCACCTTTTATGCTAACAGATGTGTTGTACACATCATTAATAGTCAAATGGTGCCACATGTTGTAGATGCTTAATCCCTCGTGATACCTTCTGGCTGAACGTAGTTAGGTCTTCTAAAGTGCAAACAGTGCATTCATGACACAAGTGTAACATCATCTGCTGGTGTGAACCCAGGAGTTTGAAATCTAGCTGCCAAGTCATCCATCCATCAAGGGAAGAGTGGTCTGGGTAACGGTCCCTCAGCGCTCACTGGTGCTGGAAGATGGAGGTGATGCTGGATAACTGTACCCTGCTGCTCTGTAGTGTTGGGAGGTGCAGGTGATGCTGAACAGGCTGTGAGCACTTTGAGGCAGGAGCCAACCTCCCAGCCAACAGATGTGCAGTCTACAGTAAAGACATCCTATTCAGCAAAGGAGATGCCAAAGGACTTCTGCAATATCTGTCAAAATAGCAAGCATTCCCGTTCCTTCCTAGGACTCGGGGAATCCCGGTACCCACATAAGTATTTCTCTGGCTTCCTGGCTGGAAAAATGCAACTAGTTGCTGTTGAACGGCATCTCTCACCTCCTTTTCAGGCCTAGGTGTATTTACATTCCCAGTATTTTCCTATTAACACAGCCAGCAGGCACTCAAAGCTAGAGTGAAGGGAGAGTAATTAGCCCCACTGAGCGTAGTACACGGTTGCTAGCAATTTTAGGGAGCAAAGAGCACTTTCTGAAAGGATTTAGATGCATAGATCCCAAAACTACAGTGGAAGCAGGAAGTTTCTCACCTGTCAGTCAGACAACATGACACACATGGCTGAGGAACCTGTAGCCGTATGCCTCCTTGGTATTTAGATGACATCTGCTGGTGAAGCGTTGTTGCTCTTCGGGGATTCTGTGGTGATATTTTCCATGCACAGAACAAATGGCATGTACTTAGCTTAATTTACTGTACCATTGAGAATAAGAGTGGCATGTGGAAAAAGTGTATCCCTTATCTGAAACTATGAACTAGTTTTGTTAGAAAGTTCTGAACCAAAGCAGAGCAGAAATTCCTTGAAAAAGGCATCCTCAATTTGTTATCGTTGTTTGTTTTTGTTGTTGTTTTTGTTTAGCTTAGTTCTGTGTCTAGCATCTTAATCTCTGGTCTTTTGAGTGAGGGTAGCTCTTGGATACATATTTTAGAGCCCTGTTTAGTCCATCCTTGGAGATGCTCAGCACTTTACTGGGGAGAGCCCTCCGCCTGCTGATAGCACTTTGTAGTTGGTCCTGCTTTGAGCAGATCAGGTAGGTGTCAGCCAGAAGTCCCTTCCAGCTCGTGGTCCAGCGAACTCAACTGTCCCATGATTTTGCAATGCTGCCATTCTATCTACAATTAGTACAGCCATAAACTTAGAACATAAATCAGGCTTGAAAATGTTTTGAAATCTATGTTGCTTGTTACCTTTCCAGATACCTTCAGCTTTTTCCAAAACCAAGAGCGTCAGAGGGAGAGATGGGAACGAAATCACATGGCTGTCAGAAAGGTTTCTCGGCGCTCTGTCAGCAAGGAACGATGGGTGGAGACGCTTGTAGTTGCAGACAGTAAGATGGTTGAATATCATGGAAGTGACCATGTGGAATCGTATATCCTCACCATAATGAATATGGTATATACAGTGTTTTCTTTTTTTTTTGTTAGATGAGTGAAGCTAACTTTAATTTATGTTACTAATCACCCTGAAACATCTGTGACATTGGTTCTGTGACGCTGGTTCACTGAAAGAAATAGAATATCTTTCATATATTTTCATTAAAACTATCTTTTAAGCCTCTTTATTTTTCTTTTTATTTTGCATGAATATGATTTTCCTCTGTGGATTTTAAGTGTGAGAGTAGCTTTTACAATTCTTAGTCATGAGGACTGTATTACATAGCTATAAATTCCAGCGCTAATTTTCATTCCACTGAAATTACTGTTTTTGAATCTCCTGCCTCCCTTGCAGCCTGCTCTCGTTGATGATTTAGGTTTAGCAGTTGTAATAGTAGAGAAGTGCTATGATTTTAAGCATAGGAATTCTTTTGCCTGTCTGCAAATGAGAGGCACCCCAGAGCCCCCTGGAAATTGTAGTAATTTTGAGTTCTGTTCTAGCATTATGAAGGTAGTTCAGTTTAGAGAGATATGCTTTTATTACAGTTCAGCCGGGACAATTAGTATGTAGTTTGGTACCTAACAAAAATGATTTGATTACTTGTATAACTGATACTCAGGTTTTTTCAAATGATTATTTTCTTTCTGTCACTTCCATTGCAGACTTGAAAAATTACTTTTTTTCCCAGACAAGCAGTACAGTATCCTGCCTCTAATAAAGTCCACATTAAAAGAAAAAAGTTTAATTTTTAATGTGTCCTTGTGTGGCAAGTCCCAAAATATATTGACCCAAGAAAAATAATAGCGTTTCATGGTGCTGTCTACAGCTCATGTTTTATGTTATTATTTATATCATAGTAGGCATTAGCCTTGCAGAGTCTGCTGAGGATATCTTCTCCTATGTCCTTCTCATCTTACTCATATGTTATATCTATGAAATAAATGACAATGTAAATTCTAGCCATGATATTTGATCTGTCCCTTGTGTTTATACAATATATGCCTGGCTATGTGCTGAGTCATCTGGCTAGCTAGTGAGGCAATGAGCCTTAGCAAACAAACACCAGGCTGATTTGACTGCGTAAGGTTTTGTCCATGCCGGGACAGTACGTGGAATAAAACCTTATCATTCTCAGACTCAGGAACAGGTATTACCATTTTCTCTGCAATCTGTACCCGAGATGTTAAGGTTACCCACAGTGATTCAATTTCCAGTCTAATACCATGAAAAAACCCATATCTAAGTGAAAAAGGCTCATATCTAAGTCAGACCGTGGGACTCAAAAGCAGAATTTCCACTTTGTCTCGGTAATGCTTCCTTTAATGGTCTTCTCCAAAACACAAACACAGTCTATTTTATCTGTTCGTATTTCTTGTGATGTGTGAGCTATTTCATACAGCGAGATTCTGGCTATCTCCTTTTCTGGTTTCCCTTTTTCCTGCCTAGTTTGACATCGCTACAATATTACTGTATTTCATTTGAGATAAGCTTTTGTTGAGTTCAATTCTTGTCTTAATGTTTTGCTCTTTTTTTGTGTGGATTCATTATCTTTCCTTTTCCTCTTTGCATCCTCTTCTGTGCTGTGAGAACACGACTGTATCCATCATTTAACTGATAACCTTTTGCTTAATACTGACTTCCTTTTGCTTTGCTGTGGCAGAAGCTGCTGCTTATCAAGTCAAAACATGAAGATTTGATATGCTGCTCTTTTGCACCCTGAGTGGACCTCTCCGTTAGTGTTGAGTGATGGTAGATGTTGCTTTCTTTTCTGCTGATATTAGTCAAGAACTCTGAAGTGACAGTCAGGAATGCAGACCCAAAGGTATTGAGTTCTTCTACCAGAGAAGTGGACGTAAAATAATCTTGGATGTGGAAGTCTCTGCTTTTGCTCCTTAAATTAGCAACTTCTGCCAAATCCTGTATCTTCACTCATTTGGCAGAGCTGCCTATTGCAATAGTTTGTAACATTTGTTGCATTTCAGTAAACGTTCAGTGAAGTGTGTTGAGGATAAAACCAAACAAAGAAAACCCCGACACTCAAAGGTGGACAGTGAGCTTCAAGTAAATCTCATATTTTCTCTCTGAAGTTCTGTTCTACTCTAGAGGATTCAGTTAATCTCATACCTCCTGGCTCTGGCACAGGTCACAGGGCTGTTCCATGATCCAAGCATTGGCAATGCAATTCACATTGTGCTGGTCCGGCTCATCCTCTTTGAGGAGGAAGAGGTAAGGTTTTTGTTTTCCTCAAAATGTCAGTGAAGAAACTTGGGATTTCAGTGCATTGAGGTATAATTAGGGTGAGGAGGGTTTATTTGCTTGAAATAATTTGTTCATTTGACTCTTCTATTAATCTGTTGACTTTAGCATGTCTGTTTTTAGGATAAATGCTACCTTGGATAGCATAACATTTAGCTCATGACTTTAGATATTTCTACATAAAATCCCCAAGGAAAATGCAATTAAAATACGATGATTAGGAATGGGGAAATGGAATCTCCCCAGTGTCAAAAGAACATGGGCTGATGAGGAAGACTAGATGAGAAACAGAAGTTAATGTGTCGTCACTCACAGTTTAATCACCCAGCACTACCTGAATTGTGTTCATAAAGTATAATGCTAGGGTGTGCACAGGTCTCTGAAGAAGTAAATCTATTATTGTGCAGCTGCAGCACGCGTTTTCCTCTGCAGATCTTTTTCAGAACTCCGAAACAAGGACTAAGTGGACACTAATTGCTCTAAACTAACCACGTATTAGTGATTTGCTATGTCTGTCACTCTCAAATATTGTGCTTCATGCTTAAATACGTACAGATTGTTGTCGTTTTACTAGTAATTTTAAAAATACTGTGCCTTACGTAGCCTCCTTTAACTGCAGAAGCACAAAAAGGGGATTTTTCTCAGTGGCTCATGGTTTAAGATCACAAGCCAAATGGACCCAAAGCTATTGAAGGCAGTGAACCAAGCTATGGAGGCAAGCTATGCCTTGTGGAATAATTATTAGAACAGAGCCTAATTTACAGCCCTCTATGTAAGGATATGCAGGCAAAAAAATGTAGTTTGTTTTCTAACAGGACAATTAGGATCTTAAGTTCACGGCGTCCTTTAATAAAATGTAGTTGCTAAGTTTCTGTAGCAGTCTTGAAAATGAACAATGGATTCCTGAGGAGCTGAGCGTGGCAGTGTTGGAAGCCACAGTGGTGGTGTCTTTAAAAATCTGGTTTTAAGATGCTTCTGAAAATGAATATCTGGTATCTATGTTATTTAGATGCTTTGTTAAAATTTTACTTTACTTAAATAAACCGAGGGAAGATGTAATGGATGTCAGAGCCAGAAGTAAGAAAATATGCTTTTGGATGAATTTATTTTGCATACTTTGTATTGCAGAAGACATTTCTGTAACTTGAATGTATACTATATAATCGTAAGATGGGGAAGAAACATCTGTGACTGCATTGTTTCTTTTTGCATTTGAGAAATAATGTGGAAGAAGTACACCCTTAAACGTGTAAATTGTTCCCTCTGAGATTTTGTTCAGCACTGAGTGACAAACGTGAACATGAAGTCAAACGCTAATTCATTTTTACCTTCTTTACACCAAGAGGAAAACTTGCTTTAAAGAGAAAATATTTTTGTTGGACATTTTCAGTTCAGTTTTGGGTTTTATGAAGCTCGCTTACCAAAAAAATACGAATTTCTGCCTTTTTTTTTTCTTTAGCAACACCAGTTACAAAGATAACAAATTTTTAACTTATTATTAAAGATATTAGATAAAAAGATGTCATTGCTCCTAGTGATGGCTCTAGCTTCAGGCAGAACTGTAATCAATTGCATTTCAGTGACTTTACCCAGCTTCACAGCTAACGTCACTGACATGTTATTGCAATGCAGCGTGGTATTTACAATAATATTTTCCTTCATTTCCCATTAGCGAGGCTTGAAGATAGTTCACCATGCTGATAAGACGTTAGCCAGCTTCTGCAAATGGCAAAAGAGCGTCAACCCCAAGAGTGATGTCAACCCTGCACACCATGACGTGGCCGTCCTCCTAACCAGGTGTGATAGCAGTTCGGCAGATGAGTAGCTGACTCTTGTTCAATTGCGTTCCTTTTGCTGATGTTTTTTGTTTATAGGCTCATATCATCTTTTAGTTCATCCTGCACTGAACCCTGTAAAGAGACCTACCTGATGAAGACGTGCTGTTTCTGAAATGCAGTGTTAATACAAAAATAACCTACTGTTAGTGTGCATGGCACTCAAAACAGGCAGAGTACATGAGCTACAATATAAAAGCAAGTAGTTAAGGTTAGATCTGCTATACCTTCTAAAAAGGCTGGTTTTCATTTGGTTTCAGAGTACATGTCATGCTTTATGTATGGATGTGGGTGTTTTATTGGCGATGTGTCTTAGTCAGGAAGTTGAGATCTGTATGTCCCCAGGGAGTAGCAATTTGAGGACCTCAGCTCATTTTTCCCATTTGATCCTGTCTCATTTAGTGTTTAGTCACTTCTTTATTCATCGTAGAGGTAATATACCAAAGCAATCTAGCATGTACGTGACTAGTTCCATAATGACAAACCCTGCAATAATATTGAGGTGCACTTCAAAGTGGAAGTAAACTTTGTGAAGACACTGCAGTTTATTTTTAAGCTTTAAATTGTATGATTTTTAGATATGAATGGTACTTGAAGATATTGCATGATCTTATATTTAAACTGAGGCAAAATACTTTTTAATTAGCGTAAGGACCTGAGGCACAGGAAACTTAAAGGTGTTGACTGAGGTTACACAAGGAGTTTATGGCAGAGCATGAAACAGAAGTTTTACGAGTTCATAAAAATTGATCCAGTCCAACTAGTAGAAAAGACTAGGTCTGTGGCCTTTAAACAAACACACACAAAAAAAGTCTTCAGCTAAAAAAGTCTACCAGGCCAAAAAAAAAAAAAATCCAAAGTGGTACAGTAGAGAAGAGAGTCAGCAAGTATTAAAATGAGAATGAGAAAAAGAAATCTCAAAATGATGAGTGGTTTATCTCTCCAAATAAATAATTTCAAACGATTAATTTGAGCAAAGGTGAGGTGTGGTTGGCTAAGTGGTCCCGGATAGATTACATAGCCAGTCCATCATCCCCTGAGTGGCTGCACATGCATTGCACCTGGCAGTGCTCGTATGCAGGCTATAAATCCTTGCTTTGCTTAATAAATCAGCCATTTACCCTAAGAGAAAACTCTGTCACGGTAGGCTGTTCCCCAGCTGAAGCGCCTGGGATTAGGCTCTGCTCCCCTGGGCCTGCTCCAGCTGAACTGGGAGGAGGAAAACCGACCTAACCCTCACAGGGCCTCGTTTCCTCCTTGGTAGCTTATGGATGTTGGGGTTGATGTTAGGGTTTTTCCTGCTGGGGGGGGCGAAACGCGTACTGCTCCTTTCATTTCTCTGCAGCAGACGAGAAGGCATGCAGCTACATCTTTTTGGACTAGAGGGCCTAGTTTCTGCCTGAGCTCAGTCACTTAATCCTGGCAACGAGGCAGCAGAATTCGCCGGTTTCCTCAGGGAGACGGCCGCTGCTGGAGGAAGGAAGCTGTTGGTGTAAACAGCTTACAGGGATTTTGGCGCTACAGTAGCCCGGGGCTGTGTCTGCAGCAGCACATCAGTTGCCTGTGGGTCCCATGCCCAAAGCGAGGCTTGCTCAGACTGAGAAAACGAAGGCAGAGTTTTCTTAAAAGCGTTTTCTGAAGACAGGCAACAGGAGGCTTGGGGAAATTCTGCTCGGAGAGTTAATGGCAAATGAAAGAGGCTGAGAAAGGATTGTTAGAGGTAAAACTAGCCTCCCGATTCCCATAAATCCTTGTGTACAATTAGAAGAAAGGAAATTCTTCATGTCATTCACCATCAGGCACGTACTAGCAAACTTCAAATGTGCTATAATCAAAAAGCTGTCAGAGGTGGAGGTTTTAAAGCGTTTTCTTGGGTGAGTTGAGAATAAACATTTATATTGAAGCACTATCACAACATAAATATTGTCCATTAAACGACAGCTGCGTAGTACTGTGATAGCAGTACCAGTGCATATTGTTACAGGTAAGTTTGTAAAAACGTTAAAGAAACCTATATTTCGCTTATAACGCGAAGCGTACCGATACCTTATGAGACAGAGACTAACCGTCCAGCTTAAGGGACGTTCTACAATTACTTTTAAGTTCTTTTAATGGCGAGTCTTTGTTGCACTCCTAGGAAGGACATTTGTGCTGGCATGAATCGTCCGTGTGAAACCTTAGGTTTGTCTCATCTGTCGGGCATGTGTCAACCTCACAGAAGCTGTAACATTAATGAAGATTCTGGCCTTCCGTTGGCGTTCACTATCGCTCATGAACTTGGACACAGGTATAGTTGAAAGTGAGGAGGAACTCAGCTGGGTTTAATTTGTTCATTGTATATTAATATTCAGTTTATTTTTTTCTAAGATTTATGCCATTAGTCAGTCTGCACGCCTGAGAAAAACAACAGCTTGTGAGTTTTATTTTAGCCTCTTAATGAAGAGAATTTTTACATCTCACTTATCCTTGGAGAGGTATTTTTTGTAATAATAACTATTGGCTGGTACATTAGACTGAGATTAGTTAGAAACCAATTGAATATTTGCTACTTTACAAATGCTGCCCAAATGAGCAGCTACTCTGTAATTCTCACCACAAAATTGCGTTTCTGCCAAACAGAAGCAAAGCAAGGGGTAAGTTGCTGTCTCTTTATTATTAAAATCAGAACTGTGTCTATTGTTTCTAAGCAGAGGAGTGAGAGAGACATTCTTCAGCCTTTGACGTTTGTTTATAATTACAGCTATTTAGTTTGCCCCTTTTCACCCCTTTACAGGGTTCTCCGTCCAGGCAGTACCTCAGGATGAAATAATCAAGCTACAAAAAGCCATCACTTAAGCATGCTTTCCATGCCTTAACTTTTCTCACCTATTCGTTTTTCCAAGCGTATATTGAATTATTATATTACTACTTGATATGATCTCCAGTCATTCCTTTACTTTTGCATAAAACGTGCATTTCATTAAATCAAGGTATTACATTATTGCTGATTAACTAGAAACCGTTTCTAACTCCGAGCACTAAAAGTTTGCAGAGGCATCAAGTCTTTTATCTCCTTTCTAACTAAGTCGCTTTGGGTTTTTCTTAATAACTGGACAGCTTCTATGTATTAATATTCCCACAGTGGATTCACTTTATGTCAAGTCAACTAAAGTTCCTATGCATTTAGTTTTAGACATGGCTAAACTTGTTTTGGAGACTTGGATTTTTTTTTTTTGCTGGAAGCTTGATTCCTCAGTATTTTGAAACTGATGGAGGTGTTTTGGTTGGCTAGTGGGCTTATTAAACTCACCTGAAACACTATGATTTCAAATCTATTTTGACACTGAACTGTTTTTCCCGAGTAGCATATTGTCTCATGGGTACTCCAGTTTGGGTGCCATGCCTGCGTTTTTCAGCTGGGCCATGCTGAAGCCGTGCCCTGCTTTTGGATCATTAGGATCCAAATACATACAATTATGTTTTCCAGAAACAAAGTCTTAGTGGTTTGAACTCACTAGAAGGTCTTTGTGTGATCCTCAATTAAGTCATGAGCTGAAACTCCAGATGTGAAAAGTACAGATGTCAACTTCTTTGTAGATCTGTTGCCTTTACAGTAGCTGGTGAGAAGCAGGTGCTTTTAGGATGCGGTTTTCCTGACTTAATTCAGATGATCTAATTTAGGATGAGATGAGCTGGAGACATCTACGTTTAGTTGGGTGGATCCCGCTCAGGATTTGTTATGTTTCTGACTTCTACAAGCTGTTGAATAAGGAAATCTCTTCAATAAGTCACAGAAGTCAGAGAACACCGTGTTGGGAAGACCTGCTGTGGAGGACTATCTCCTTGTCTGTAAGGAGGAAGTTAAATAGTAAGGAGGAGTGGAGGCTGGCAGCTAATTCACTGCATTCAGCAGTGTGGAAAACAGTGTCTCTGTCTAAATCCAGCAAAAGAGATTAGAAAAGAAACAAGCATTGGAGGCATGATTGTAAGACAGTATAAGAGAGAGTGTAAGAAAGCCTGATCTTAGCTATAAGTAGTAGGAGTCTGAGATAACTATGCTAGTCAATACAATCGCTTTGTCCTTAGCCAAAGGAACAAAGAATAAAATTTAGCTGGGAATTTTAGGAACAGGTTTCGCTTTTGATTTTTGCCTCAGCATCTTATCTGACCTCTGCTAGTATCTCACTACCAGCGTCCCCTGTCTATACAACGATTTCATCAGATATCCCATGCTAAGCTGCTTTTAACCCAGCCGGGGGTAGGTTAGAGTGCTGGAGGAACTGAGGCTTAATAACTAATGGTGACCTTTCCCTTTGATTAGTTACCAAATTTACATTGCAGCAGGTTATTAAAAGATGTTGCCTTAGATATAAAGCATGACTATCTGGTGGTTAAAAATCTGATTGCCAGATTACAGCTACGTACGACCTGTAGAGCAGGCGAAGAAAGGGATCAGAGACCTAAAAGGCACTGAAGCTGAGATTCCTCCTCTATGAAGGGATGCAAAGAAGGGAAAGAAGAGCAGGTGGCGTGAGATGCCTATCTCCTAGATAGAACTAAGCACCTACTAGAACTAAGAGCACTTCCTGGCTCTTGGACTGAAGAGCTAGGAAGTGCTCTTAGTGCTAACAGCTTTGACATAACTTTGAGGTTTAAACTACCTCCTTAAATGCAGCTAAATCATGCAATAGTGTTCTGACTCCCTTAAAAAAAATACCGCAGAGATGGTCTCTGACAGTGTTCTTTGTCTTCTGCCTGATAACATTGCTTTGCATAACAAATCTGTTTGACAGCCTGTTGGAGTCTAGAATTTTTTATGGGTCTTGGATCAGGTCTTCTGTGCACTTTTTGGCAAAAATGTATCTACAGCTAACCACAAGAGGAAACAACCCTAGTATCTGTTTACACACGTTGTTGAACTCACAGATGAGTGTTGTGATATAACCAGCCAGTTGGAATTATTAACTCTTGTTTTCTATCTCCAGTTTTGGCATCCAGCACGATGGAAAAGAGAACGATTGTGAGCCTATTGGAAAGCGTCCGTATATTATGTCCCGGCAGTTGCAGTATGATCCCACTCCCCTCACCTGGTCTCAGTGCAGCAAGGAATACATCACACGTTTCCTGGAGTGAGTGATCAGTGTGTAGCACCTCCCTTGAATGAGTACAACTGTATATGAGACATCTAAGTGGAGTTTACTAGATTTGCTTTTTTTGTAGAGTACTTGAGTTAATTCCCACGCAGGGCATGCCCCAAGCTTATTGCTCTCTTAGTAACTGGGAAAAGCTCCATTATATCTTAAGTTTCTAAAAGTGAACTGCAGTCTTGTCATGTTAGCTTAGGTTTGGTGCAACCTGCAGCTTCTTGTAGTTACCAGGAAGAAAGAAACCTTTCTGTCAAGGACTTGGATGGGGCGTCAAAGACATTCCCTTTGTTGGCCACAGTAATACGTACTTGATTTCAGTGACTTGTCCGAATTCATGTTCTTATCAAAAGCAGTGCTATGATATAACTTTGGCCAGAGGCTGCAGGACGCTTTGAAGTCGCTCTGCAAACCATAATGACTTCATGATATTTCCAATTTGGCAGGATAGATTTTGCCTCCATAAAAACTGCCTGCCAGGTGGAGAGCTGTTAGAAGAACTTCATCCATCGGGTATAGGAGGAGGGGATAGCAGCTGAGAGCTGCTCAGCATCAGGGCCATCAGCACTTACAAGAGCCACATATGTTCCTTTGCTTTTGCAGACTTCAGTGGTCCCTCTTCAAAGTGTGGAATTTGGACACTGGTCTAATTGTTACTGATACCTGGGCTACTCCTGAGCAGGCAGTTTGTTGTGGATTTTCAAGTATTTTGCTATTCTCTAAGGTTCCATGAACTATGAGAAATGAGTACTGTTTGTTAGCGGCACTTCAGCATAGCTTAGCTGGAATCTGGAAGCATTATTACCAAAGGCCATATCAAAAATTATCACCAACAATTGATCGATTATTGAAAGTTATTACTATCAATTATGGAAAGTCAGTATAAAAAAGGTGTCAAAAAGGTGTGGTTGTGTTTTTTTTTAATTTGCAATTTTCATCTTTTAGCCGAGGGTGGGGATTCTGTTTGGATGATGTACCTCAAAAAAAAGTTCTGAGGTCTCCACTCATTGCTCCTGGAGTGATTTATGATGTACATCACCAGTGCCAGCTTCAGTATGGTTCCAATGCTACTTTCTGTGAAGATGTGGATGTAAGTGCTGTATGTTTTTCTTCATTGCGCTAATGAGAGCTTAAGCCTCTTGAACAGTGTGGAAGTGCAGTTGTGAACCTCAGCTGCTAAGTACAAATGCACCATGTCCAGAGTCTAATAGACTAGACGTGCAGTGCGAACATATCCTAACAGCGTGTTTTGATTTCAGTCGGGAGATCCTGGAAGCGAGATGTTGCACTATTTGCCTCATATATTCCTTGTCCTTTAGGGGATTTGGCCTCATACCCGTTGTTAGATCCTTGCCCTTCAGTAGTGAAGTAATTTTGGTGTTATCTTAAGTATGTTATCAACAGAGATTAAGTCCCATCTTCCAAAATGAGACACACTTTAATATTATAGCTCTCAACTGACCAATGATTTCATTAGGAACAAATCTTCAGTTCCAGGAAGAGTTGTCTGGAAAAAAAACCCAGGGCTTTGCTCTTTTCCTATGCAACGTGATTTTTCGCACTTTCGATGGTCTAACTAATGAAAAGAAATTTCAGTCTTTGTACCTCAAAGAATCTTTATGTGAATTGAATATAGATAAATAATCGTAAGGATCTTTATATAGATTAAATGTATCTAAATATAGATTTATATAGATATCTTTATATCCAACCTCAGATAACATAAGATTTTTATGTGGCAGTGGGTAATGTAGATAATCTAGTCTAATATTGGTTCCCTAGGGTTCATCTTCGCAGCACAGCAAGACAGTGCTGTGCAGAGATGCACGGGAACAGTATAGTCACATCAGCACATCAGTCACCATCAGCACAGCTCCCTACAAGACCCAGGAAGCGCTGTAGAGTAAAAAGTTAAATTAGCTAAGGTGTAGTGCTATGCTATTGTAGCTGTACCTACCTTGTTTAGAGCTATTTAGCTCTGCAGCGTTATTCTACGTGGAAGAACACTTCAGAAACTGTGCTTTCAAACGCTGATCTAAATAAGAGATCACTAAGTTTTACTGACTCTTGGGCAACACTATTCAGCAAATGCTGCAAGGCAGCATCCCTATTTGTTCTCCCTGTTAGATAGGACCGTGGCAGTAGTAGTGCCTTGTGGTTATCTGCGATGCTGGAGCGTGTTTTAGGCAAGGTATTGGGTACAGCTGTGGACTGGGGACTGCAGATCTTGATTGTTTATTCCGTTGTGATAGTTATGTGTATCCTTATCTACCCTCTTATTAGAGGAATTATTTATGACTAATCTCCTCAGCTGTAAGGATTAGCAATGTTGAACTGCACCTACTGAATCTGAAGCATGTATTGAAAGATTGCTTTCATTACCTGCTGTTCCATTTTTCTCAGATGCTGTAATTTGTCTGTTGGTACAGATAGAAAATTAAAGTGTAATTTTGCAATATTGGTTTGTTCCATCTCTCCTTGAGCGTGAACCTAGTAGGCCTTTACATTCAGCATCTCCTGATTAACCAACTTTACAGCTGGATAAACGTCAGTAAATTAATTGGTATCATTTTATTTTAGTCTTTTACTGCGAGGCCTGTGTTTTGCAGGTAACTGCACTGGCAGTGAATTGTGCTTAGTCTGCCTGGCGTATTGGACAATTAGTATAGTCATTTTGTCTAAGAAGTCTGACTGTTCTTTGCCTCGTCACTATTTACCTAACGCTCTCTGACTGACTAAGCTACATTTGTTGTATAACTTTTAATGTTTTAATTACATACGTGTTTTAATGTTGCATGTATGGTTGAATTTTACCCACAGGTTCTTTTTGAGAGAGGAATCTGCATTTAGCTGAAGATGCCCAAGGGTTCAGTGATTACATTGAACAAAGAGATTTCGAATTCGTATGGTGATTTTCACAAACCATTTAGGTAGTTAGTCCTCTAAGCACCATGCACATAAATACTGTCCTCCTAATAAGGAGCAAAGCAAAATTTGGAGGATAAATATTCCAAATGGTGGATGGATCCGTAGCTCCCTACCAGCTATAGGATTTCAGAATCCTCATCTCAGTTGCCCTTTCCTTATCTCCAAAAGGTTCACTCGGTTCAGTAGGACTGGGATTATTTACAGTGGTCTCTTTCTAAGGCACAGATCCTGATCTCACAGGTTGGGTGTATACTGTATTGCTGATGATAAAATCACTTGCCTTGCAGTGACTCCATGTTAGTCATGAATTCCTGATTATTACTTCCAGAAAGTATGCAGTAAATAAAGCTTTTTCTTGCACTACTGTTATTCCAGTATTCTTAAATATGAAGAAAAGCCCTGGTGCATGGGGATTAGAATGGGAAAAAAAGCTAATGAGTTTAAAGCTAATGAGTTTACTCCATAAACAGTTGGTTTTGGAATCCAAGTGTTTCCACAGCGTAAACATGTAACTGCCAGTGGAAAGCTGCATTCAGTTTAAATCCACATTGTGGTGCTCAACTGTGCCTTTCTCTGGGCATTTGAAACACAGTGGAGGACGCAATTCATGCCCTAAAAAGCACAAGCGTATGTTGTACACAATAGCTAAAAATAAGCATGAAGTTCCCCATGAAAGCAAATTCATCAGTAAGAACGTTTGGGTAGCTCTGCCTTTACATCCTGACAATGGTGGCTCCACAGAGAGTCGCTAAGTAGTGCTGCTCTTGAACTATAAATAGGGACCTGCAAAACAACCTCTGACATGTATACGTCACCAGAAAGCAGCTAAACGAGCGGAGATGCAAAGCTCCAGACACCGTGTTCCGACTTGAAGCGCAGGGTACCTGAGGTGGCACACTCTGTGCCAGAGCCTAGCTGTTTTAAATAGAAGTAGGCCAGAAACCAGCAGCCAAATTTTGGATTTCAAACTCGGCCGAATGTTGCTGCTAGCTTATTGGGGCTGGATTTTCACAAGTGCCAAGTTTGTGTAGGCTATGCCAGCCTTCATCACCCAGAGCCACTGCTCTTCTTAGGCTACTAGGCTTTTTTTCTTCTACCAGCTATTCTGGACAGCTTCTTTTTAGATCATTCCCTCCTGTGTCTGCTGGGCTGATTTTTTGAGAGAGCTGTGTTTTGATCTCTTTCTCATCATCCGATTTTGGGAGTTGAAGGGCATTAACCTGGTTGTCATACTTGGAGACATGGCATTGGTTTTGCTTACCAGCTCGTAACAATGCAAAATTGAGCATTGTGCTCATTAGTAGTCATCAAATGAAAATAATACAGACTCCATCTGCCTTCACTATAAACAGTAGTGCCCAGACTTTGTAAAGTCATTTTTCCTGTGTGTAGCTGGGAGCTGAGCAGCCAATGAGGGGAACATTTAAACTTGCAAGTATGGTTCAGTTAATCCACTTGATTCAAAGTACTTACCGTTTTGTATTTATTAAATAGTCCCTAGTTGTACACTAATGAGCAGTACCTGAATTTGAACCCTTGAAGGGTCCTAACTTGTGGAAAACTCTAAACATCCATCTCTGGAAATATAGCCCTTATAAATCTTTGTAAATAGATGTACAAAACCACGGCTGACTTCTGAAAATGTTGGCCTTAGGCATTCAGCTCTGCTTGGGATTGCTGCAGTTTTTTCTTTTCCAGAATCTTTGCCAAACGCTCTGGTGCTCAGTGAAAGGCTCCTGCCGCTCCAAACTGGATGCTGCCGCGGATGGCACTCGATGTGGAGAAAACAAGGTGACTGTGAGCTTCCATGCTATGAAGGGGCAGCGGGAGAACCGTGAATAGCTCTGCGGTTGTTAAGGATAAAAGAGGGAGCGTCCTGTGACATCTGCATTTAAAGCTCCACTTCAATGAACTCCCCTGAAGGTTAAAATTTGCAGTAACAGTTTCGTGTGATGCTAATCTTGAGCTGTTTGCCCTTTCTCTTCTCTCTAAGTGGTGCTTCTCTGGTGAGTGCATTACAGTGGGCAAGACTCCAGAGGCAGTTCATGGTGGATGGGGTGTTTGGTCGCCCTGGTCCCATTGCACAAGGACGTGTGGGGCAGGAGTTCAGAGTGCAGAGCGACCGTGCAATAACCCGGAGTAAGTTGAGTGTACAATCTTTCCATGCCTTTTATTCAAGATCTTTGAGATACTGAAGAGACTGGAGGGACTTTTTTATGATACAGCTTTATCAGCAGGTGCTAGAGCAAGACAGTTATTGAACACCTCTTCTCCCTAGTTAAACGCATCTGTGTGAAATTCACATGGCTCAATTTTTATAATCTTCGTCATCTTCATTATCTTCCATGGAGCTTATTTCTACGTACAGTGGAAAAATCCTGATATTTGGCCAGCAAGATTTGTGTAAATACTAGAAATGTTGCTTTAATAATACTATCTTGAAATAATACAGTGTCCTTGAATGCTGGGTGGAAATAATGGCTAGTGGTATGTTCCTGAGGGGAATCAAGGAACCATCTTTCATAGTTTATTCGAAACATCAGTTTTGTTTGGAGCTTCAGATACAGGGGTCGATAGGTACAAAAAAGGGCAGAATTGTCTGATATATACCTGAGCACAAAAGGTCTATATATCACATTTTCAAAAATCACTACGTGGATGCTTAACAGTTGAAATTATTTGACTCCTCTGTCAGGACTGTCAAATGTTCTGTTTTTTGTTTTTTGTTTTGTTTTGTTTTTTTGGAGTTCTTCGGTAAGGTAGTTTGTCATTGCCAGGCAATGTGCCAAGCAGCTCTGTGAGATGCGAGGTGCTCCATACCTGGAGCACCATGTTTGGATACCTGGACATGTGAAGAGTGTCTCTACCTTGTCAAGGATTCAGATTCACCTTATTAAGCCGTTGGAAAGACGTTGTCTAATTGATACTAATGGAAAATGCAAAAGTTAAAACTATATTTTACTGAGAATCTCACATCCGCGATCTCAATGTTTCCTTTCTAGACCCCAGTTCGGAGGAGACTACTGCACTGGAGAAAGGAAACGCTATCGCGTGTGTAACATTAGCCCCTGTCACAAGAACATGCCAACCTTTCGTCAGATGCAGTGCAGTGAGTTTGATACGGTTCCGTACCAGAATGAATTCTACCACTGGATTCCAGTTTATAACACAGGTACAAAGCTATGAATTCTTGAGTATCTTGTCTTAGAAGTCAGATTTACAGACCTATGGGAAAGCTCTATGAGGAAGACAAGTCACTGAGTTACAAGTCTTTAATTAACTAGAGAGAAAATCAGATGGGATCGTACTCTCATGTGCCTGATGCGTATACGTGAAGACACTGGCTTTGCGTTACACATTGATGTTTTCAGAAAGCTCTAGTAATAGTTGCTATGAGTTTAACTGGTCCATCACCTGCCAGGATATTATGCTAGTAAAAGCTAGTGACGGCCCATCTATGCTAATTGGTCTGGATAGACCTGAACTGCCATTCCCAGTATCGCCCCCAGAACGAGAAGTGCAGTATTGTGGTGCGGAGCTGTGCACCTGCGCCTGAAGGCATCGCTACACCTAATAAGCGGGGCTCTTCAGCTGCACAAATGTGGCTTTACTACTTCCGAACTCAGACCCGCCCGGTAAGCGTGCCTAGCACGATGCTGGGTAAATAATACCTCACCAGGCTCTGTAAAGTACTCCCCTTTTATTGTAGAGACAGGACTGATATGTCTGCCTTATAACTTGACTTGTAACATCTAGTTACTAAATACAGGGGTAATAGTTATTACCATGAAGCTTAATTCATGGTGAATGCATAAATGTGAGGAGTGGATTGTCCAGTAGAAGCTATAGATATAATTTTTTTAAGAAAATATAAACCAGTTAGGGAAGTGAAGCTCAAGATTCCGCTTTCAATTTCATTTGCCAGTAGTATTTTTCAGCATATTTATTGCATTTTCATAGTTATTGACCGCACTAAATAGGTCTCCTAAATTCCTGCTACTGCCTCAGTGCCTTATAATAAACACACCATTGAAGATAGCCCTGGAGCATACAGCATTCCAGGAGAATTTCTGATCAAAGAAAATCTGATCAAAGACTCTTTCAGAAGGCCAGTCAGTAAAACAAACCATGGTAAATGCTTTTAAAAAAAAAAAAAAAAAAAGCCTACGGCTTAATCCAAAGCCAAACTCATAGATTATTTTCTGCAGTCCCCTGTCACTGAAATGGGGCTTCCACTCCTTTCTGTTACTCGTATGAGTACTTCTGCTGGGTACAGGCTTGATTCAGTTAGTGTCCTCTCCAGGGCAGTGCTAACAGAGCTGGTGTGTGCATTTGTTATTGAAGGTCCGCTTTTAAAAAGCGCTATAGCTCATGAATCAAATGCTTCCAGCAGACTGAAAGACAGGCCTGTGATGATGTCTTTACCATATTTCCAGCAGACCTGGTTATAGCTTTACTGACCAAAACAGTTGCATTAAAAATGCTCATTTGTTGAGCTTGAAATATTTCACTTGGAACATCCTGGGTTTGGTGACCTTTTGCCAAATCCTTCAAATACCACACAGTTATTTCTTCTGTGACTTAAAAAAAAACTTTTCATCTCTTCTTACCTGTTTTCTTAGCAGCCAGGATTTCAGTCCGGAGTTACCTTGCTCCCTCAGGATCTGTGAGGTCTGTAGCATTTGCAAGTTTATTCTTATGTTCCATTAAGAATATCTGAAGTGTTTTCTTGCTGCGAAACTCTAACTTAGAAGCCTGGCGCAGACAGGCAGGCTCTCCTGGGAGCAGTCATCTGGGCAGAGGCTTGACGAGGTCCTGTGCTTAATCCTCCCTCTGCCGGCATCACTGTATGGGTGTTTATGAGGGTGGGTGGCTATCGTGGGCTCCGGCTTCCAGCTTTGTCCAGACGTGGCATTAGCTACTGCACTGAGCTACAACTGGCAGTTTTCCAGCCATCTCAGATTCCGGTTTTCTTTCACCTTCCAGTCAGTTGCTAAAGAGATCTGAGGGAAATGAAATTCTGTCTTCTCTTTTTCTGCTTACAAATGGCGCAGGGAGTTCTGATGGAACAACGTGACAGAGAGCAGAAGTACTTAAAGGTAGCTAGGAAAGTAAAACTTGGAGAAAGCTACAGCTATAAGCCAGGAATAGCAGGAGTATTCAAGAAACACCACGCGTTTTATGTGAGAGAGAAGGAGCTTCCTCAACCCTCCAATGTTCTGCAGCAACGAGTCTGTGTTTCCACCTCTGTGTTACCTCTGGGCAGAATAACTTCAAGCAGGCTCACAGGACAGTGCTCTCGCTGTGCGATAAAGCAGTTGAGTCTTTCTTGTTTGTCTTGAGCAAACCAAGATGTTAAACAAAAGCAAAGCAACAGCCTCTTGTAAATCCCACATGGAAAAAAGCTGACACTACAGGGCTCTGGAGACTGAGTCAGCACGTCCACCGTATGTCCACCAACCTTCGTCAGTGTATATCAGCTTGCCTTGCTTCACCTCGCGTAACTAATGCCATCCAATTTCAAAGACTTTTCAGAGTACTCTGTTACTATGTTAACTAGCTGCCAAGATGGGTTTTGGCTTATGTTTTATTAGCAGGCATCTTCAAACCTCCCCTACTGCGCATGTGATATAGGTGAAAAGAAAATATCCTGAGGCTTTCCCAAACCCTGACTGCACATAATAGTTTTGTGTGGAAGTCCTTAGTCAAGGAGTTGAAACTCTGAGCTAGAAGCTTTCCAGGTGCTGCTAATCTTTTCAGTGTTCCTTCATCCTTCTGGAAAAATAGTAAATGGTAAAAGAAACCTAGATGATCACAATTCTCTCTCCTGGCTTTAATTTCATAGCTTCCATAAGCCAGTTCTAATGATTGACACATAATTAAAGACTGTCATAATGTCCTTTTCTGCTGTGTAAATTGTACGTTCATAGGAGGACAAAGACTCTCCTTTAAAGAGTTTATGATCTAATATAAGGTGAAATGCAAGAAGTAGCTCTAACAACCAACCAAGAAGGAGAGCAGTGAATGATATCTCACTGTTACCTAGGCTAACTACCTTTCAGGTTCCAAATCTGTTGAGTTATTTCCTTCCTATTTCAAATCCTTGTTTCCCTCCTGTTCCCCGTTCTTGAGGAACTTGCACAGCCTGCTGATGCCTCCTTACCTGCCGTGGAATTGCTCTAGAGCATAGAAACCGCTGGACTCGAGCTGGAGTCTTCTGAGTATCCCTGGGAGTCTCAGCAGAAAGGAGACTTTCAGGTTTAAGGGTAGTTAAAGCAGCCAGCCATTCTGGTGAGTGCATTTTCTGAGTGCTTTTTTTTTTTCTTTTTTCTTTTTTCCTTTTAAACTTAATCCCCTACTTTGACGCTTTGGTTGGACACTGGTGCTGATCTACTGCTTTGTCATCAGGCAGACCCCACACCTACTTAATTTATTTCATGCCTTGTGGCAGGTAACGTTTGTCTGAATCTGATACCTTCTCAGAACTTAATGTCCATGTAGTCAGCGTGAGCCTTACTTCCAAGCAAAGGGCAGTAATCATATAAATACCTTTTTTTCCCTCAGTCACTGCCAGGATTACCTATGCATTCGTCTCATATACTTGGGGATAGGGGTTGTGTAACTGAAATGTTGTAGCTTTCGTATTTCTTCTGAAATGTATCTGTGTATCAAGTAAGATCTATAATGATACAGCTGCAAGGTCTGAGCTAAAAGCACAAGGTAACGTTTCTGCTACCACTACTTTGAAATTAAACTTTATGTTAAAGTTCCAAGTTTGGTTAATGTGATAAAGTAGCTTTCTCTCAGCTTCTTTTTTTTTTTCCTTTTTGTCTGTGTTTGGTAGTTGTCTCTTCTGATTTTCTTTGTTCCGAATTTCTTCAATTCGGAGTTCTCCCAAATGCGCAGAGGTGAGGGCTTCAAGAAAATAGGCTCACCTCTTTTATTCCTTGTGTAATAGAGGAAAAAATACCAAGGCCTTATCTCCTCCAGGCATACACATTAGTCACATCCTTCTCAGTCAGGCTAAGGTGGATCCTTCCTGCGTGCAAACTCATGGGATTCAGCTGTGAAGGAAGAAATTTAAAGTCTGTATTTCTGCTCTGGGAAGGGAGTGTGTCCCTTTCTGGGACATGTTGTTCTGTTTGCACTTGCTGAATCGGAAGTCTGTCGTAATATACTCAGGAAAAAAAATCACATACCTTTTAACATTAGGCACTTTACTCAACTTTGCTTGCTTGTTTTCTTGATCCCATTCTGATCCCACGTAAATCATTGGGTGTTTATGGGCGCTCTGTTGCTGGGTATCCCATTACATCTGTATGGGGTTTTTTTTTGTTTTTTTTTCTCCTGTGTATCAAAGGATTGATCTGGTCCCTGTTCAGATCAGCAGTGTAATCTTGGTGCAGGATGAAGGCAGGATACATAAATGGAGGATGTAACTTTTCTGGTACGCTGAATGTTGGTGGCACTTCAGCTAAAGTCTTATGTCCAGCTATGGGCAATGCACTGCAAGAAGGATGAAGACAAATAGGACAAAGTTTGAAGAAGAATGACATAAAAGATAAATGATTTAAAAAACATATGTTATAAGAAAGGCTGAAAAAAGCAGGTTTTGTCCTAGAAAAGAGAAGATTAAGTGAGTTAAAGGCCAGATACTGTAAGTGCATTTCTAAGGGTATATTGCATGCATATCCCTAAGCTGGTAGAGGTGCAGGTTAGTAAGTTATAGGCAAAATGGTACAGGGGGCCTTTAGGTTACAAATTAGGAATTCTTTATTGATGTATCCATAGTTAAACAGTAGAGCAGGTAATCTAGGGAGTTTGAGTTATCGTTGTTGATTTAAAGACAAGCTAGGTAGGGATAGACTAAGTGTACTTGATGCTACTCTTTTGTGGAGGGATGAACTAAAACTCTGTAGGCTTTACCCAGGCTGAAATCAAGCTCTGTTTAAACTAGAATTCAAAGGGCTTTTTTTTTTTTTTTTTTCTCTCTGAGCAAGGATTGTGGGAATCTGGCCCTTACTGAGTGCTTACGGATTGGACCTAGTTATTTCATGTGTATGCTGAGTTGCAAGAATTTCTGTAAATTTTGATCTAAAAATAACTAAGATGGCAACGTCTTTAATAAAGTCTCATCGTGAATTAATTGAATTTGCTGAAGCAACAAAAACTAAAACAGAAACGCTAATGTTCATACTGATCCCAATTTAGTCTTTTTGGTTTTTCAGAAGTGAAATAAGATTGCGAAAATCTGAATTCAGTGCCAGTCTTTGCCTTGGAGTTTTCCCGTCGTTTCAGGCAGTGTACTTATTCTCCTCATATGTCAGTTCTCTCTCTGAAAAAAGGGGATAAAAGAACTTTCTACATCTGTATATGTCTCATGTTTAAAAATGTTAAACTTTTGGAGGACAGTGACCAATTTTTATTTATAGTCCAAGAGTAATGGAGCCCTGATCTTTGGTCAGGTCCCTGGATTCATCTGTCAGAAATAGTAATAGATAAATAAACAATTTTAGAAAATGAGTGGCTAATACGCTTGGATAATTTCCTCAGTGGTGCCTTAATCAGTTTTCTGTGCAGATGAAATACCAAAATAGCTTTAGGAATGATGACAAGAGTATAAAATACTGGATATGATTGAGTCTCTGGGGAG